GAAAGGAGAAATTCACACTTGGGTAGGATCTCACTGCTCCTGAATCTGTCTCCTGTGACAAAGACAGAAAGAGGTGCACCTTTTCCGAACTTCTGGGTCCTACTGTCTGTGGGCTTGGTGGTAGCCAGTAAAGGATTGTGCTTACATCTTTATTCTGGTCAGGTGCTGTGGTTCATGCCAGTAATCCCAGCACCATAGGAGGCTGTGACAAGAGGACTGCTTGAGCCCAGTAGTTTGAGATCAACCTGGACAACATAGCAAGACCCTGTCACTAAAAAAATTTTTTTAAAAAAATGTAGCCGGGGGTGGTAGGCTTCACCTATAATTCCAGGTACAAGGGGGGCTGAGATGGAAGGATCTCATGAGTCCAGGAGGTCCAGGCTGTGGTGAGCCATGATGGTGCCTATGGCACTCCTTCTGGGGCGACATAGTGAGACTCAGACTCAAAACATAATTCAATTTTTAAAAAAAGGCATGTTCTCAGCATGTAGGTATGACTTGTCCAGATAATCTGATCTGAGAAGAAATCCCAGAGGAGGAAGAAGAGGAAGAAATGGCTAGTTCTCAGGTAAATATGTCCCAGGTCAGGGGCTGTCATGTGTTTAGACGTTGCAAACCTTTACTGCTGTACTTGTGATGGTCCTGCCTAATGAGCTGTCACCATAAATTTATGTCCTGCAGTATTAAAAATGAGATCATTCTGCTATTAGTTAAATAAGCACAGAATTTGCTGTTTTATTTAAATAAGATGCATGGAATTACTTTTATTGTATCTAAGTATTTAAAATTTGATGTTGCCAAGGACATGGTTTCTGTAGCTCAATATCCACCATAATTTGATATTCCCTCATAAAGTCTCTTACTCTTTCACTTTCCTTATATCTTCAGACAGAAGAATGTCTTTTTCCTCTTAAAGTCTGCTTATTAGAAGCTGTTGTTGGTAATCAAATCTCTCATGTATTCTTCTGTTTGAAATATATTTCAATTTACTCCATTCTTAAAGATATTTAACTATCAAATTCTAGTTTTAATAATAATTTCTATTTAATAATTTCTATCAGTATTGTTAATACTCATTTCTGTTTACTGAGAAAAATACAAGTTTTGGAAATACCTTCAGTGTTTTTATTTTTTACTTTGTATTTTTATTTTTTTGAGTGAGTCTCACTGTGACCCAGGTTGGAGTGCAGTGGTATGATTATGACTCCCTGCAACCTCTATGGACTCAGGAAATCCTTGATCTAAGCCTACCAAGTAGATGGGAACCACAGGCACTACCATGCCTGGGTAACTTAGTAAAATTTTCTTTGGTTGAGATAAGGTCTTGGTATGCTGCCTAGGCTGCTCTTGAAATCTAGGGCTCAAGATCATCCTGCCTTAGCTTCCCAAAATATTGGGCTTATAGGTATGAGCCATCACGCCTGGCACCTCACTGCTTTTAGGTGTTTCCTTCTCTTTGGTATTATGCATTTTAACTATTATTTTATAATACTGTTTTCTTTATCTTTCTGTTTGACACACTTCATTTTGAAATTTAGGGATTCATGTTTGGTTTTCAATTATTTTAGAAACTCATAAATCGCCAATTGTTTCTATATTACCTTTCACTGTTTTCACGTTAGTCAAACCATTACATAAACAATTGAATGTTTCATATATTCACATTCTAGTCTCCATTTATATTAAACTGTAATTGTAGTTTTTATTACTTGCTTTTTAAAAATTCTTTGTGAGTATATAAATTGTGCTCAATAGCTCAGCTCACTACTCCTGTTATCAGTTCAGTCAAATTTAATGTTTAATCCATACACTGTATATCATGCTGATTTACATTAATTATTTTTTGTTTGGCAACTTTCCAAATACAGCTAGTCAACCTTGTAGTGTCTCATTTCCACATTTATTTTCCTATTTTTCTCACTGTACAGTTAGTCCTTGAACAACATGGGTTCAGTTTTTGTTTTTTGTTTTTAATTGGAGTCACACTCTGTCACCCAGGCTAGAGTGCAGTGGCACAATCACAGCCACTGCAGCCTCAACCTGCTGGGCTCAGGCGATCCTTCTACCTCAGCCTTCCAAGTAGCTGGAACTACAGGCATGCACCACAATGCCCAGCTAATTTTTCTTGATTTATTGTAGATATGAGGTCTTACCAAGTTGCCCAGGCTGGTCTTGAACCCATAGGGTCAGGCAGTCCTGTCACCTCGGCCTCCCAAAGTACGGGGATTATAGGTGTGAGCCACCATGCCAGACCCAGTTTTTTTTCAATAAATACATTGTAATTTTATTTGACAATTGCAATCATAAAAAAAAAAAAAAAACTCAGAAAAACCAGTTTAGGAATATATTTTAACAAATTAGTATGTCATCAACACATCAAATACAAGTATATACTATTCTATTCTGTCACTTACTACCATAAAATATATACAAATCTATCATGCAAAGATAAACTTAAAATTTATGCACTTACAGGTTATATGTGGCACTGGTACCAAAAGAGTGTAAACAAATGTAAAGATACAGTATTAACTCATACCTGCTTTAAATTAACTATGGGACACTGTATCATTTAATAATTTTGTGGCTACCTCCTGCTATGTGGTGAACCCAAGTTTTGAGATTCTGTTTAATATTCCACATGATGCTGATGTTTCTATATGAGCACTTGGTCTCTCCACAGCCAACGAAGGAATATAAAAATGGTTCTGTATATGACAAAAAGGTAGAAAGGGAAAGAGCTAAGAGGCACCACACCAGAGGAGTTAGCAACAGATGACTTGATGGAGACAAACAGATGACTTGATGGAGAAAACTGCTTCAAACCTAGAGCCAGGTAATTGGATAGCACACAAGAGAGGCTGGGCCGGGTGGCTCATGTCTGCAATTCCAGCACTTTGGGAGACAGAGTAGAGAGAACTGAGTTGAGGGCTTCCAGGCCAGCCTGGGCAACTTGGTGAGATCTTTACAATAAACCAAAAAATTGGCTGGACATGGTGGCACATGTTTGTGGCTCCAGCTCCAGCTACTGAAGAGGCTAAAGGGAAAGGACAGCCTGAGCCCAGCACATCGAGTGCAGTGGCCATGAGCATGCCACTGCACCCCATCCTGGGCAACAGAATGAGACATCGACAAAAAAAAAAAGAGCGAGAGCAAGACGGAGAATGAAAGAGTGGGCACGAGCGCGAGACAGACAAGAGGCAGCAGTGCCAGAAAACAAACTGGGCATCAGACAAGCTGGCAGAAGGGTTCTGATCATTGGACATTGCTACTGACTTCTTTCAAAACACAGACCCTTTTACAATAAGGCATCAAAACTAAAGCTAATAGTGGAATAAAAATGATATAATATAGATGCGCTTTTCAGAGACATAAAAAATATAAAAAACATCAGGCAGAAACTAAGATGTTTCTGCAAAGCTTCACTGAGTGCCCGCCTCTCCTGCCTCCCCTCTACCTCCTGCACCTCTTGCACGGAGCACGGTGAGACCAGCTTGCTCTTCCATCTCTTCATCGTTTCTCATGGTGAAGAATGAATGACTTTATATGATGATCTGCTTTAATGATCAGTACATATATCTTTCTTCTTTATGATTCTTTTTTTAATTCAGTGCGTGCCCATGCAGATTTGTTACATGAGTATATTGTGTGATGGTGAGATTTAAGTTTCTGTTAAAACCATCACCCAAACAGTGAAGATGGTGCCTAACAGGCAATTTTTCAGCACTTGGTTCCCTCCCTCCCCCTTCAACAGTTCCTAGTGACTGCCATTCTCATCTTTATGTCTGTGTGTACCCAGTATTTAGCTCTTACTTATATGTGAGAACATGCAATACTTGGCTATTTCTTTCTCAAATAATTTACTTATACACCCTGGATATTTTCTGTCTCTTAACTAGAGTCACAGACTCTAAGGGAAACATTTATTGCTATTTGTGGAGCATTTATTACATACCAAGCACTGTCTTCTGTTTGTTCACTTTGTTTAAATGTCAAAAAATAAATAAAACAAGAGCAAACCGCAGACTTTTACATTCTCCCAAGTTTTCACCTGAACAAACTGGTCCAGTTAACTCAATAAAATCAATTATGCTATTTACACAAAGTAAAAGGAATAACACCACACTCTATTCAATGATATTCTCCAATTGTGAAGAAAAAAATAGAATGTTCTAAAAAAAAAGTAACTAAACACACTCACTGTGAATTACATCTTCAAGTGCTTTCTGAACACCATTAAATTGTGTTTTACCACCCCACATCTTTAAAATAACAAAAAAAGAGAAAATTTTCCAGACTACCATACACTAAATAAATAAATAAATAAATGCGCTTTACCAAATCCTTGAAATTTCTAAGTAGGCTAAATAATGAAAGCTTTATAAACATGGAACAGGAAATCCTACACTAGGTCTTGCCTGAATAACCGACAAGTAGAAAAGAGAATTTCCATAAGGATATTCTAAACCAGAAGCCATGAGATATTATTGTAATACAATGAATATGAAGCAGAGAAATCTGATTTACTTTTAGATTTTAAATTATTATTGTTCCAATAATGTCCTTTCCTACTTAACATAGGCACACATTCAATTCACACACACAAACTCAACTTTCTCTTCCCTAGTTCTCTTACTCATAAAGCTTTAGAGTGATATATTTGTATATTTCATTCAGTATAAATTAAAACTAAAAGTCTGTATCTGCACTGTAGGTCAAGAGATGTACAATGTGTACATACAAATATGTTTTACAATAGTCAGTCAGGATTCAGAAAGGTATGTCTTATGATTACACTCCCGTATAATGTTTATTGCAATCAATATAATGATCCACAACCACAAAAAGAGAAAATAAAATATAACCTATGAAAAGAAGATCACTAGACATCGTTCCATAAGATACTCAATAGTACACGGTCATCATTCACCTACAATCTTGAGTAAGATGGAATAGATTAACACTAGCGTCAGGATAAAAATTCATTGTGTGCACAACTGTTAATGTTTTAGAAACAATTCTGTTTATTAAAACAAATTAAGTTTACATAGCCTAAATAAACATTTCAAAGTTTACTGTTTGCTTGCTAGCAAAAACAGAGTCAGCTTTCAAGAAGCATTTCTGTTCTTCTGACAGCGAGAAATGTGAGTGCAGTGCAGCTTACTTCAGTTTTTAAAACTGAAGCTAATTATTTATTACACATAAACTTACAATATGTATCTCCTAGGGGAGCAATTATCTTTTCTCTGATGTTATAAAAATATCTATATTTATACCATATCAAATAACACTTAGAGCTTGTAAGTATTGATACTACAAAGATGCATCAAAATATTAACGGTCTGGCCTCATTTAAACCTTAAAATGCAACTGGTGAGACAACTAATTTCCAACACTCTCAATGCTTGTCTTTTATTCCAGTGCCAAAAAACGTTACCCTGAGCACCCACCTCATGCAGGACTTACAACAATGCTCAATGTGAGCCACAAAAAAACCTCTCCAGTGAGATGTTTCGACACAGATTACATATCAGTGTTCTTCATCCTCCATGGAAAGGTGGAGGTGACTGATGCTCACCTAGTATAGAAGGGCTTATCACAGCTCTAATGTAGCAACAACTGATTACATGCTTTTACACTAGAAACAAAGGCACAGCATCAAGTGAGTTGAGAGCTGAGTTACACCAATAATTTGTTTTTCAAAATATCCTCAAATTCTGTCAATGCAAAAGTAAATGTGGAATATACTTATGCTTTCCTAAAATAAAATCAATCTTCTAATGCTATTCAACATGTAAGCAAATAATCTAATTGTTTTGATTTTGACTTATTTAGTATACTATCTGAACATATGAGTGCCATAAAGGTTTACTCAGTGAATGTGCTGATGTTTCTTTAAACTTGACTTTTGATCAAATAAATTTCCACATATATTGCATCTGTAAAGTTTTCAGTCTGAATACCCCGGTGTTTTCTATGGCATATATTTTGAACACACATCATTCCACATTCATTAAATTTGTAGAGGTTCTCTCCAATGCAAATTACCTAATATCAAATAAAGTTTTAGCTACAGTTAATGGCATTAGATATTCTTTACATTTGTACATTCAAAGTATTTGTGGTATGAGTACAGGCAACAGTACTCTTTACACCTGTAAAGCTTCTTGCCATATGTTCTTTATGGCTCATAGGCTGATAATTTTTCAGTCATTACGTTTATATAAAATTTACCAAGTATAAATTTTCTGATGTTGGCAAAACTTGGAATAACAGTGAAAACATTTGCCACATTCTTCACATCTGTAGGGTTTCCCTATGTATGTATGCTCATATGTCAAGCAAGTTTTGAGTGAGAGCTAAAGGCTTTCTCACATTCCTCTCATTTGTATGGTTTTTCTCCAGTATGGATTCTCATATGTCCAGCAAGTCCTCTAAGAGAGTACAAGGCTTTGCCACATTCTTTACATTTGTAGGGTTTCCCTCTAGTATGGATTTCTTGATGTTGAATAGGATTTGAGTACTGACTAAAAGTTTTGTCAGTCTTCATGTTTGCTGGGTTTCTCTCTAGTATGGATCCTTGTATGTTTAGCAAGTCCTAAATGAGAGCGAAAAGCTTTGCCACATTCTTCACATTTGGAAGGTTTCTCTCCAATATGGATTTTAATATGTCGAACAAGTTTATAATGGGAACAAAAGGCTTTGTCACATTCTTCACATTTGTAAGGCTTCTCTCCAGTATGGATCTTAAAATGTCGAGCAAGTTTATAATGGGAACAAAAGGATCTGTCACATAGTTTACATTTGTAGGGTTTCTCTCCAGTATGGATCATAATATGTCGAGCAAGATTATAATGGGAAAAAAAGGCTTTGTCACATTCTTTACATTTGTAGGGTTTCTCTCCAGTATGGCTCTTTGTATGTCGAGCAAGTAATGAATGAGAATGAAAGGCTTGGTTACATTCTTCACATTTGTAGGGTTTCTCTCCAGTATGGATCCTCGTATGTTCAGCAAGTCTTGAATGATAGTGAAAGGCTTTGCCACATTCTTTACATTTGTATGGTTTCTCTCCAGCATGGATCTTCACATGTCTAGCAAGTCCTGAATAAGAAGGAAAAGCTTTGCCACATCCTTCACATTTGTAGGGTTTCTCCCCAGTATGTATCTTGATATGTCGCGCAAGATTTGAATGGGAGCAAAAGGCTTTGCCACATTCTTCACATTTGTAAGGTTTCTCTCCAGTATGGGTGGTCATATGTGCAACAAGTCCCGAATAAGAGCAATAGGCTTTGCCACACTCTTTACATATGTAAGGTTTCTCTCCAGTATGGATTCTCATATGTCCAGCAAATCCTGAGTAAGAACGGAAGGCTTTGCTACATTCTTTACATTTGTAAGGTTTTTCTCCAGTATGGATCTTCATATGTCTAGCAAGTTCTGAAGAAGAGGGAAAGGCTTTGCCACATTCTTCACATTTGTAGGGTTTCTCCCCAGTATGTATCTTGATATGTCGAGCAAGGTTTGAATGGGAGCAAAAGGCTTTGCCACATTCTTCACATTTGTAGGGTTTCTCCCCAGTATGGATGGTCAAATGTCCAGCAAATCCTTCATGAGAGCGAAAGGCTTTACCACATTCTTCACAGATGTAGGGTTTCTCCCCAGTATGACATCTCTGATGAGCAATAAGATTTGAGTACTGATCAAAGGCTTTGTCACATACTTGACATCTGTAGGGTTTATCTGCAGTATGGATTCTCTGATGGTGAATAAGATGTGAGTACCGATTAAAGGCTTCTTCACATTCTTCACATTTATAGGGCTTCTCTCCAGTATGGATTCTCTGATGTCGTGAAAGATATGAGTAATAGCTGAAGGCTTTGCCACATTCTTCACATTTGAATGCTGTCTCTCCAGTATGGATTCTCTCATGTCTATTTAGATGGGATGACTTCCTAAACACTTTCCCACATATATTACATCTGTGTAAATTTGCTCCAATATTATTTTTTTGATGTTGAGTACATTTTGAGGACTGGTTAAATGTTTTGCCATATTCATACTTGGAAACCATTTCAGAAATATGGATACTCTGGTGGATAATATATTTGGAGTGTTGACGAAAGACCTTCCCACATTTGTTACATTTGTAATGGCCATGTACAATAGAATATCCTATCTGCCCTTCACCCTCATGCACACTTTCCCAAGCTTTCTTTAGGGGTGAATTCTTAAGGCCTAATTTTCCATATCTTACCAGTGGCACCTTTGTGTGTGACTCTTCTGTGCTCTTCTCTTGCAAAAGTCCTTTGGTGTAATGAGAAGTCACAGCTAAAAATAATGAGAAGAAGAATTTATTCCAACTACTAGACTCAGGTGAATATCCTTTACAAATCTAACAACGTTATACCATACAAAGGACATTAGCAAGATGGCAAGATAAAAACCACAGGTCATTGCTCCTTCATAAATATATGAATTTAACATAATAGGCCAGGCACAGTGGCTCACATCTGTAATCACAACACATTGAGAGCTGGAGGAGAGAGGATTGCCTGAACCCATGGGTTCATGACCAGCCTGGGCAACATGGCGAGAGCTAGTGTCTATAATAAATCAAAGAATTAGCCGGGCTCGGTGACTCAGCCTGTAATCCCATGCCTTTGGGAGGCTGAGGTGAGTGGATTGCCTGAGCCCATGGGTCTCGGGCAGCAAGACTTCATCTCTACAATAAATCCAAAAAAATCAGCCAGGCGTGGTAGCACATGCCTGTAGTTCCAGCTACTTGGAAAGCTGAGGCGGAAGGATCGCTGGAGCCCAGCAGGTGAAGGCTGCGGTGGCCGGGAGTGGCCACTGCACTCCAGTCTAGGCGACAGAGTGAGACTCCAACTCAAAAAATAAAAATAAAAATAAATAAATCAAAGAATTAGCTGGGCATGATGGTGTGCATGGAAGCTACTTGGAAGGTTGAGGCAGAAGGATTGCATGAGCCCAGCAGGTCGAGGCTGCGGTGGCCATAGGCGTGTCACTGCACTCCAGCCTGAGTGACAGATTGAGACTCCAACTCAAAATAATAATAATAATAATATTTACAACACTGCCTTCGTGAGAACTCAGAAAACAGGTAAGACTTCACAGAATCCCCAGTGAGCACAATGTTAGGAAGAGTTACATGGAAGAAGTTTAGTAATTTTACCACCATAAAGTCTTCCTTCACAATACAGCGTGATGTAATCTGATGAAAACTTCAGATTCCTGATTTCTTTCTCAGGGAATAAGAACGGTGGAGCATGAGCCCACACTTCTGCCATTTGAGGATTTACCCAAAAACTAGTTTCTGTCTCCCCTTACAGAGTGCTGATGTAGATGGTGGTATACTTTGGATGACAGGTTGGATTTGTCGACACTAAAGGTAAATGATTCTTACAGCACCAGAGAGATGAAGGACCACAGACAGATCAGACACAGCAAATAACTTTGAACTCTTGAGAAGAAACATGGTTAAACTATTTAGCTGGAAGAATATGCCTAATTCCAGAGAATACACATCTTAGCAAGTTTGAGAGGCCCTCAGAATCTCTAACTTAGTAATTAGTGTCATACTTGATGTAGACAAAGCAACTCCATAAAGATTATGATAGGTAACTTTTATCCAAATACCCAAATGCCAACAAAGTGTCACAAAGAACACAAAGAATAATGGGAAACGACCCAATTAAGTCTACGACAACAAAAATTCAGAATTCAACTCCAAAGAAGAATTGGAGATGTACACAAGAGACTATATATATCCAAAACAGCCTCAGTAAAAAAGGATAAAATAGAGGCATCACAATTTCTTATTTTAAAACATGTTACAAAGTTACAGGAAAAAAACATTGTGGTACTGGCACACAGAAAGACAGAAAATGGAACAAAATAGAAACAAGCCAAAACAAATCCTTACAAATACACTTAAATGATCTTTAAAAGGCTGGCATAACCACACAATGGGGGAAAAAACCCTTCTTTAACAGTGTTGGAAAACTGGCTATACACAAAAGAAAAAAAAATAAAGATGGACTCTTGCATCATACACAAAACTATCTAAAATGATTAAATATAATTATAGTTTTTACATTCAAGTAAAGTCATTAGAACCAAATATAGGATGGATATTAAGATACTGCCTGTCAGCCGGGCTCGGTGGCTCAGCCTGTAATCCCGCACCTTTGGGAGGCTGAGGTGAGTGGATTGCCTGAGCCTGTGGGTTCGAGAACCGCCTGGGCAGCAAGACCTCATCTCTACAATAAATAAAAAAAAATTAGCCGGGTGTGGTAGCGCGCGCCTGTAATTCTGGCTCCTTGGAAGGCTGAGGCGGAAGGATAGCTGGAGCCCAGCAGGTGGAGGCTGTGGTGGCCGGGAGCGGCCACTGTACTCCAGTATGGGCGACAGAGTGAGACTCTAACTAAAAAAAAACAAACAAAAAAAAAAAAAACAAAAACTGCCTGTGACAATGCCTCATTAGATGACATCAAAAACACAAGCAACAATGAAAAAAAGTACAAAGAGAGCAACTAATCAAAGTAAAAAAAATCTTCACCATACAAAACATTCAGTGGAGTAAAAACATCTCCTAAGGCATGAAAGAATTTATTTGAGATTTATACACCTAATTGGAATTAAAATTCAAAATATATAACTCCTGAAACTCAACAAAAGTTAAATGACATAACTAAAAAATGGACACAGAAATTAATAAGCATTTCTCCAAAGAAGATATAGAAATGACCAAAAAGCATTTCAAAAGATTTTCAAGACAAACGCTCAGAGAAATGCAAAGCAAAAGCACAATATATAACATCACACCCATAAGGATAGCCACTATCAAACAAACACAGTAACAAATGTTATTGAGGATGGGGAGAACCTGAAACACTCGTGGGGAAAAATGATGCAGCCACTATGAAAAGTAACAGGAAAATGACTCAAGAAATTAAAAATGAAATTATCCTATGACCAGCAATTTCACTTCTGGGTGTCTATCCAAAGTATGAAAGGTTGAACCTGAAAAAGTTATCTGAATACCTATGCTTATGGCCGCATTATTCACAAAAGCCAAAAGGTAGAAGTAACCTACATGTCCTTCAATGAATGAACAGATAAAAAATGTGGCACTCTTAAAAAAAGAAATCTGTCACGTGTTACTGTAAGGATAAATACTGTGGACATCATGGTAACTTAAATAAACCAGCATCAGCTGGATGTAGTTGCTTATGCCTATAATCCCAACCTTTGGGAGGCTGAGATGGGAGTATCGCCTCAGTCCTACAGTTTAAATCCTGCCTAGGCAAAACAGCATGCCAAGACCTTGTTTCTATAAAAACGAAAACAAAAATTAGTAGGGCATGCTGGCGTGAGCCTGTAATCCCAGCACTAGGAAGGCTGAGCTGGAATACTCACCTGAGCCAAGGAGCTCAAAGCCATTGTGCCACCACACTCCAGCCTGGGTGACAAAACGAGACTATGACGCAAAAATCCCAAAACAAAACCAAGCTCCCCCCAAACAAAAAAATACACAATCTTAAAAAAAAAGATTTGGAAAACTTCCTTCCTTGATATTGACATTTGTTTGAATAGTGATTTCTCTTCATATGACAACAGAAATGCAGGAACAAAAGCAAATATAAACAAGTTGGACTGTACCAAACTAAAAAGCTTCTGCATAGCAAAGGAAACAGGAAGAAGGCTTATAGGAGAAGAGAAAATATTTGCAAACCATATCTGATGGGAGATTAACATCCAAAATATATATGAAAATTACACAAATCAAAAGCAAAAACAAGAAAATGATAATCATTTGACTAAAACATAGGCCAAGATTGAATATTTGTTTTTCCAATGAAGACATACAAATTGCAAACAGGTATATAAAATGGTGATCAACATCACTAATAAGAAGGCAACTGCAAATCCACACAGTGATGAGATATTATCTCATGCTTCTTAGGATGGCTAATATCAACCAAAAGAGGTAAGTGTTGACAATCATGTGAAGAAAAAAAAATTATGTATACTGTTGGTGAGTTTTAAATTGGTAGTCATTCTGAAAACCATTATGAACATTCTTTTAAAAATAAAAAATAAACTGCCATGCAACACATAAATCCCCTTTCTATGTATATAACCAAAGGAAATACAATCAGTATCTCAGTGAAGTACCTGCACCTTTATGTTCACTGCAGTATTTGCCAAAATGGCAGTTACAGAAACAACCTCAGCATTCTGGGTTCTGTATTGATTAAGAAAATATAGTATACATACATAATAGCATATCATTCAACCATAAAAACAAAATCAAAGAATCCTGCAATTTCAACTTCATGGATAAAACTGTAAGACTAATTTATGCTAAGTGAAATGAGGCAGACACACACAAAAATAATGTGTGATCTCACTTATGTGTGGAATCAAAAAGATTGCACTCACAGAGGCAGAAAGTAGAAAGGTGATCACCAGGGTCTGCAGGTGGGAAAATGGGAGATGTTTTTCAATGGTTACAAAATTTCAATTATAAGTGAGTTTTAGGGATCTAATGTGTAACATACAGACTTGATATGTTCATTAACTTAATTGCAGTCATTATTTCACAATGCATAGACATATCAAATTATTACATTATACACAATATATGGTTATATAATTTTTATTTCTGTATAAAAAATCAGATGTTAAGCACACTATATTAAAAAACAAGGTAACATGCAGGAGTTTAATATGTTTACCAATGTTCTGTGTGATATAGCATACTTAAGAAATTTGGGCATACAAAGTTTACATTACCAATCTCAGTTCATAGTAAAAAAAGAAAAAATTAAGCAAAATAACACTGCGTTTCCTTCTAGAGAGATAGTTTGTGCTCTGGTAGAATTATGGAGTATGAATTTCTATGAAATCACATTGAAACCTCCCGAGGAAGAAAACAATAAAGCAGAAAATATATAACCTCTGTCTGCAGAATCAAGTAAATTTCTGAATCAATTAAAATCACCATTACTCTCCTATATTTCCAACATGATGAAAAAAGAAAACTTAAAAAATAGTTTAACATAGAATCTGTAAATAAATAACGAGATATTTCCACACTCCCAAAAGCAACAAAAGAGCAGTCAGATCATGCAGTCCCTTATAAACCATTAAGAGGACTTTGATTTCCACTATAACCTTAAGAGGAGATCATGGAAGGAAAAGCAGAGTTTTTGGAGAATTTCAGAGCATGGAAAAGTAGATGACCCTTTGTGACAACAAGAGAAAGAATTCCAGACTTCTCAGAAACCATTTTCATAGGAGCAGACCACCTTCCCAGTCACATTTCAAACTGCTTTCCCCTTGACCTGTGTCATCTGCTTCACTTACTCCCACCTACCTGGAGGCTTGGCTAAAGTGTTGTGTCTTTTCACATTCCAGGGTTCTTTCCTTTCCTCCAGACAAGTGATCAGGTCTGGTTTAGAGACAGCAAGGCCTATTTAATTAGAAACGAAATATAATGCTTGCTGGGGTTTTTCAATTACAAACCTACTGTGCTCAGTGAGAACACATTATATAACATTCTAGAAAATTAATCTGAAAATACAGTTTTCCAAGAGAACCTTTAGAACATTTAGGAAGAATTTTCAATCTGTGGGTCCTTAGCTCAGTACTAGTGAGTCAAAAACTTATGGCAGCAATTGGATTTTAGGTCTGGGCAATGATATTTTATGCCATTAAATTTCTAAACTTACCATTAATATACAGTGAAGGACACAGATCCGTTCAAAATAGGAAATGGTTCATGTCAAAATGAAACATCTTTAATTTTTTTCTATGTCAACAAATCAGCAAGTTTTCTTTGATAGAAAGAATCTGAAAGTCATTCATGCAAAGCAGAAACTCCCAGAAAACATTCTACAAAGGAAGGACATGAAATACTTAGTATGAAATAGGGAATGTCCTCACCCAGAAAAACCAGGTTTCTGTGGTTCTCTAACATCACATTCTTGTACAACATCCGCTGAGTAGGGTCCAGGCATTCCCACTCCTCCAGAGAGAATTCTATGGCCACATCCATGAATGTCAATAGTCCCTGAAAACAACAACACATATTTACCAAATGACCATGGGCTCTAGGTAAAACAGGGGAGTGAAGAGAACAGGGGCCAGCTGATATGGCAACTAGAATTATCTAATAAGATAGTTTTTAACAGAAAATATTCTCTAATGTTTTAAGTCTAAGAAAACAGGATGAAATAAAATCCACTCAGCCAGTGTAGATATTATACTTTTGTGAATGATACAGCATAAATGTGGACATAAACACAGTCATGTATATTTCTGATTGCTGTATTTACATCACACAGGATAAGTGGTATATATTGCTCAGATGGAAAACTCATGGTGAGTTAGAAGGTCTGTGTCAAGTTTTAATTTGTACAACAATGAACAGAATATCTTGTTAAAGTTCAGATTCTGATTCAGGAGATACGGGGTCAGCCTGAGTTTATGCATTTTTTTTAGTAAGGGGTCTCACTCTGTCACCCATGCTAGGGCGGAGTGGCATGATCATAGCTTTCTGCAGCCCTGACCGCTTGGGCTGAACGGAGGCATCCTCCTCAGTCTCCCAAGTGGCTGGGACGTACTGGTATCAGGTGCCAAGGCACACCACGCATCAGTGCCAAAATGTTACTGGCCTAAAAAAGAGTAAATTATAATCTGAATCTAGTAATAAAGAAACATGTTTTATGTAGAATTCCAGCTACAGATATCTCCTATGTTCTCTAATCTCTAAAAATGTATTTATATCTATGTTTTTTAGCATCCTAGAGAGCAAGTCTTTTCTAATTATTCTTTATTCAGACCTTGCTGAATTATTCTGGACAGTAACTGCCATCCTGTTTAACTGCATTTTATTAACCTTGCTCTGCATGGAGCTGATGGAACATCCAGGTGAAACCTTAATAGTACATGTTTCCACGCTTCACTAGTATCTGAGGATCTAGACCATCTCCAGTGTGAATCTTGGGTATCCATGCCACAAGGGAATATCTTTAATACTGCAGGTCATAAATTCATAGTGAGAAGAGTGTATGGCAACTGTGCAATGCAGATGAAGAGAACAGAGAGAAGGCTCTGGTATTTAAGAAAAAGTGTCCTTCAGAGCCTTTGAATATCGCAGGAAGAATAAAAACAGTTGAAACAAACTCATTAGACAGGATCATCACAAGTACAGCTGTAAGGTCTGCAATTTCTAAAAACATGACATTCCCCTGACCCGGGACACATTTACCTGAGAACCAGTCATTTTTTTCCTTTTCCTCTTCTTCCTCTGGAATTTCTTCTCAGATGAGATTATCTGGACAAGTTACACCTACATGTTGAAAATATGCCTTTATTTTTGAAATTTAAATTAAATGTATGTATTTTCTGAGTCTCAGTCTCACTCTGTCACCCAGGCAGGAGTGAAGTGGCACCATCAAGGTACATCACAGCTTTGACCTCCTGGGCTCAGGTGATCCTTCCACCTCAGTCTTTCAAGGAGCTGGGACTATGAGCGTGCACTAGCATTCCCAGCTAATTATTATTATTTTTTATTTTTATAATGGCAAGGTCTTGCTATGTTGTCTAGGTTGGTCTCAAACTCCTGGGCTCAATCAATTCTCCTGCCCCAGTCTCCCCAGTGATGGGATTACTGGCATGAACCATCACACCTGTCAGAATATGTCTTTAGCATAAACACAATCCTTCACTTCCTACCACCACACCCACAGACAATAGGACCCAGAAGTGCAGAAAAAGTTCACCTTTCTCTGTCTTTTGTCACAGGAGACAGATTCAGGAACAATGAGCTCCTACATGGAGTCCAAAGTGTGTTTCTTCTTTCCTTCCTTCAAGTGGGTTCCCTTGCCACAAACACCAGTAATTTCTGCTACAGCAATGATGTTATGATCCCACTGACCTTCCTGGACACACTCAAACAGGACAGGCCAGGTGACCTCTTTTCTGAACTCAACTCTCATAAACATATCTGGGGGCCCTTGTGCTTGACTCTGACTCCACCTTAGAATCACATGAGGACAATTAATTAAAACAACATGGATGCTGCCACATAGATAAATAGTCTGTAGATAGGGAACAGGTGATAACATTTCCCAAACTGGTCATGTGGTCCTATTTAAAAGCCCAGACGGAGTTTCACTTAGACCTTGCCTCTGCTATAAATTGCATATAAATCTTTTAATATCTTGGGTCTCATTCTAAGAAACTGTTATTCTGCAAGTTTTAAAGCATCACTAAATGGAGTTTTTAAAACAAGTCTCCTGTGAATGCTGATGTTGCTTCTCCTGGACCCACAGTCAGCAGCACTTGGCCACAGAAAGCAGGCCCAGCATGTAGGTTCTTTCACACCCAATACTCTTATCACAACATAAATACTCTTTTTTCCCATTTATCTGCTTTTGGACTTAGAACAAGCACCAGGTCTGGGAAGACACTAGGAAAAGCCAACAAACACTCTGACTTCCTCTGATTAGTTTCCCGGGAGGGGAGATTTTAGGGTGGGGCCAGAGAACTGGAGGAGGCTCAGAAGAGGGTGTATCTGGGAGTGTGCCCTAAGTAGGATTCTGATCTCTGTGTCTCTGGAGTGTTTCCAGTTCTGTATTTCCTAAGCCTGACCAAAAGACGCTTGACTCCCAGAGTTTGTATGTTAACGTATTTAAGTCACTTATTTTATTGTATATTGTATTACATATAATAACAAATAATTTCACCAAAAACCCTTAGGCTTTTCCAGGACAATAATATTAGAAGCTAAATAGTTTTTTTTAACAAGGTAAAAACAACAGAAATAATAAAAATGAAAACAGCAACACTTCCGTTCATAAATGCCCTTTTAGGCAGTGAAATCAGAACTCAAACATAAGGCCAGGTCCCCTGGACACCTCCTTTCTTTGTACTCACCACAGGGTGCTGAATTCAAGCATTTACCTATTTACAACAGATGAAAGTCTCTGGACTGTAGAGACCTTGACCTCTTCATCTGTTTTTCTGGTAGCCATGTGACATGGAGGTACCTCCATTATTTACCAGTTTGCTTCTCCACACCTACTCTTCTTTACTGGAGTACCAGGAAACTGGAGCAAATTCCATCTGAGTACCAATCCCAGTGCCAATCTGTTGTTGGCCCAAGGAGGGTCATGTTCTTATTATTTAAACTCAGCATTAAAAAATAATTTATTCACAATATTACCTTGCTTCTTCAGATCGCATCACTCATTCAGACTTTCAACTCAGAAATATAAACGTCTTACGCTCAAAGAAAATCATGGTATAAAATTCTTTTTTTTTTTTTTTTTGAGTTGGAGTCTCACTCCTTCACCCAGGCTGGAGTGCAGTGCGCACCCAGGCTCATGGCCACCCCAGCACTGACCTTCTGGGATCCAGTGATTCTTCCGCCTCAGGCTCCTGAGTAGCCGGAACTACAGATGCGCACTACCACACCCAGCTATTTTTTATTTTATTGTAGAGATGAGGTCTCACCAGGTTGCCTGGGCTGGTCTCAAACCCATGGGTCTGGCAATCCACTTGCCTTGGTCTCCCAGAGTGTTGGGATTACAGGCTGAGCTACAGAGCACGGTTTAAAATTCTTATGTACTTGGACAAACTGGAACTATATGGCAGCAAGATTTTATAACAAAAGGAAAAGGGAAGCAGCTCAAGGAAACAGCCTGTTTCACCCACAGTCCACAAGGAACTGCATAACCAGTAGGTTCACCATATTCCCAAGCTTGGGGGGAACCATTCTTGTTGTGAGACACTGCTCAGGAGGGTTCACTCCCAGGTAGTGACCGAGGGAAACCTGAGCATCTGGAAATATAATTCTGGGAGTGACACATTCTACCATGTGCTCCTCACAGTGTGAAAATGCTTTGTTCTCCAGGGTCTCAATTCTCAGTGGGGACCAAACACTCACTTGGAGTAGTTTAAAAAATTCTGACCTGTGATTTTTTTTTTCTGACCTCAAATGTGTAAAGTTTGCTGGACACCAATCAACTCTCCAACAATTCAATTCTGTCACTACTCAGAGTAAGCACAGACACCCTAGCTCAGGGCTTAGTCCCGTAACACTGCCCTCACTGCGGATGCCAGTCACAAAACCCAGTGGCCATCTATGCTTCTGAGCAACTGTCTATAAATCAAGGGCTCCCAAAACGTCTCCTCAAGTTCAGTAATTTCACGGAATACTCACAGAACTCAGAAATCCTTTCACTTACATTTACCAATTTATTATAAAGAACATGACTCAGAAACAGCCAAATGAGAGATGTATAAGGTGAAGGACAGTGGCAAGGGAGACAGATGGGGAGGGAATTCTGGTAAACAGCTGTGAGAGAAGAAACCCCATCCTTTGTGTACTGCAAGAACAGCTTGCTGCAAAGAATCACCCTTTCTACTATGACTTAGGTGATGCTCCCCTTTTTCCTTATCTCAAAGACAGTCACAGAAACTTCAATTTCCCATTTTCTGTCTCATAAATAATTAGATAAACACTTTTGTTTTCAGTGGTCTGAACAAAACACCTGTAAACAAACTTGGCTTAAATTTCCCCATTTTCCCCCAGACCTCTGAATTCTGATCCAGTCCCAGTCTGAACCAACACACACCTCTCATGTTCCTCCCAAGAACAGGCTGACTTTGGGGTGAAACATTCACTGAACCGGGAGCTGCTCGTGCCACTCTCCATCCTGCCCTCCTCCTCTCACCCTTTTCCTGATCTTTGTTTTTTCCTATGGAAGAAAGTCCATTTCTGGCTAAACTTTGAGGTGCTCTCGGATCCTATAGCAGGTGCTTTCACCCTATTGCAAAACTTCTTTACTATAAAGTTATTTTAACCCAAACTTGAATTTACTTTACTTGACAATGTTTAGTGACATCCCCAGGAAAATAACAATTACATCTGCTGGAAAAGCATCACATTCTTTACTTTCATCCCAACCCTGAGCACACCTTCTTGCAGACCCGCAGCTTTCCAGGGCTCTGCAGCTTTTCTCACTGTCACGGGCTCCTTCCATGACTGCTGTAAGCAGATGGGCGCACCAGTAGGGGAGGCTCACCTGGAAGAACAAGCTGGGCTTTCATGACCTCCTTTTGCAGGATCAGGGCTGACCACTGCTTGGAATCTCTGGGCCCATGTGTCTGCTTCCCAGTTAAGGTTACTCACTTTGGATTCAAATGAGAGAACACCCAGTGCAAGAATCACTCCAACTCAGCGTTCAAGTTTACAAAGGGCAGGAAATGTCATTTAAATTACATACCTCATCAGAAATACCAAAAGCATGTATTTCAGATAGTAGACGTGTGCTTATTACTCCCAAGATAACAGGGAAATCTCACCTCTTCGTGCTTGTACGTTGCTAACATGATTTTGAAACACTGCAAAGATAATGTATGAAGAGGTATGCAGCTGTCCAGAGTAACTCTGGGAAAGGGAGATTATGTGCACTAACGCTTTTCTTATATAAGTAAAGAAACAAGGAGACCGTGAACCAAAGACAAAGAGACTTCACGACTTTCCAGGACTCCTCTCATTGCCCGGATGTCTGCAGGTCTATGCCACCGGTTGACCTTGGCCTCTCTATCCCCCCGGCCTGCATAAAAGCCAAAGAAAAGCACACACAACTCAAGAGGGGTCTTTAGAACGCCGGCCCCTCTTCTCGATTTTTACCGCACTCCTAAATAAAGCCGCAGCCCTTCCTCCAACTCTGTCTCGACTTACCGGCTGTCTTGCTCCGAGCACAAGAGGGTTCGGACCTGGTCGGCAATTTCAACCTGGGTGTTCCAAAGACCCCGCCCGCTTCCCGCCGCCCGCCAGCAGCAAGCGCGCGCGGCCGGCTGCCCGCCCCTTCCAGAAGCCCCCCTCCCAGGCCCTCCGGGAACCCGCGCCACAAGCCCCGGCCGCAGTCTCGGGATTCGCGATCCTCCGTCCGCCCGGGTGTGCGAACGCTGTGACGGAGCCCCCGCGTAACCCGCGAGAGGAGAGAGGGATGGGGGCCCGGGCTCCAGCTCCTCCGCGGGCCGGATCCTGCCCACGACCCTGCCGGCGCGCGCACTTCTGGAGCGCGGGCTGCACGGAGCTGCG